CCCCCCATACATTATGAACGCAGCCTTAGTTTGTTTCACAAAATGTAACTGTGGATTATTGGTACGTAAATGATTTTAAAAAATAAATCAATAGTGAAAACTTACCAAGGTGACACAAATCTTGTCCATGAAACGCAACATTTCTCAACACCTAAGAATGGCAGGCCGCTACAAGAAGTACAGCAGCGCGCGCATTGGAAAATGGCGTGACAACTTTGCTCAACCTGTTCGGCATCAATTTGAGAGGTAAGACTCTTTTCAGAAATCTCTCCATAAATTTAGTGCATTTTTTAATTGCATGATTATTCTTACTTTTATTTTTAAAAAATGCTTCAAATGACCTCAAGCCATGATTTTCTTTCCGAGGAAGACTTGTCCAGGTGACGACTAGAACCAAACCTGTACCTCCGAAGCATTATGGAAAAAGCTAATGACAACTGTCGAACAAGAGATCTCGAGGCATACCTCAATTAGATATTCCGATGTTGAGGAAAAGACTGGAACGATTGACATTGCAGTGCATTGTGGGATAGTTTTGGGGGTCATATTTCCAAGATGGTGTCCATTTAATTTTTTAAAACTGTCCCACAAAGGAATGCATGCCAACTCGATCAGGATAACCAATTGCCAGATCATTTTTGCACGCTATGCAAAAGTCTTTTTTCCCCACATCCACGTTTACTCCACATACCGAAGTCTGCCTTTCAAGAAAGGAAAACCCTTATCCGACAGTAGTTTTGCTAAGGGTAAGAAGGCAGCCTCTACTTGGAGAGTAGCGATAAGTTTGGTCAAGTCTTGAGCCTCGGAAATGAAAATACTGGAAATCAATTTGATTATCGTATTCTTAAAAAAAGTCTATAATATGCCTATCAAAAATATATCTCCAAAAATATCTATGAGTGCAACTTATACTTGAAATATGTTTCCCTTATCTCTAATTACTTTTGTTTTAGTAACTACAGAATTTTGAAAAATAGTTCAGCCGTTTTGAAAAAAAATAAATGGAAATGATTACACCAAGCAAGGTGTGTTATGAAAGATTCAGTCATGTTTATGAAATACAAATACTCATTAATAGTAATAAGTCAGTGTAAGAAATTCGATTGTCTGAGATTACTAGACGGTATTTTAAAATCGAGTATCAATACTGTCTTGATCTTGCACAGGCAATGTTTCAGAGGTGTCGATAGATTTCTCATCCCCATTTTCCTCATCGTTTTTCTCTGGTTCTGATTGTCCTGTGAGCTTGTCTTGTTTAGTTCCACTATTATTGTTTGTTTCTGTTCTTTCTTCTTGTGTGGCTTGTTTCGCTGATTCTCCAGCTTCATCATCTGAGTCCCGTTTTTTCTTCTCGTGAACTTCCTCCTCGGCTAGCCTAATATCATTTGCATCATTATTCGCATTTATTGGTGCGTCTCCATTCACTTCTAGTTTATTATCTTTAGGTGACCCATTACCATTCCTGTCTTCTTGAACGTCCTCAACCTCTTCTAATTTCTCATCTTGAGTTTCTCCACCATCGTCTTCTTTGCCGTCTTGAGTATCTCCACCTTTTTTGACATCCTCACCGTCTTCTGGTTTAGCACCTTGGTATTCTCCACCATTCCGCACGTCTCCATCATGTTCTGGTATAAAAGTCTTCTCCTCTACAGTTTCTTCTGATTTAACTTCGTGTACATTATCACCGTCTTCTGGTTTAGCACCTTGGTATTCTCCACCATTCCGTACGTCTCCATCATGTTCTGGTATAAAAGTCTTCTCCTCTACAGTTTCTTCTGATTTAACTTCGTGTACATTATCACCGTCTTCTAGTTTAGCACCTTGGTCTTCTCCACCATTCCGCACGTCTCCATCATGTTCTGGCATAAAAGTCTTCTCCTCTACAGTTTCTTCTGATTTAACCTCGTGTACATCAGCACCGTCGTCTACCTTATTTTCCTCTACTTTACCATCTGAGACTACCCCAACATCTACTTCTCCACCCTGTATTTCTAAACCATTGATTTCATTTTTTTCATCCTTAGAGTCCTTATCCATACTTTCATTTTCACCAGTGGTGTCTTCAGGCGCCAGGTATGAATAACGTGTTTTCCATTCGTGGATTGATTGCCTATTGACATCCTTTGTTAACAACTCTTCCATGGCCATTAAATCTCTTTGTTTATCCTAATAAAAAAATATTAAAATCGAAGTATTTTAGTAAAAATACTCGTTAAAGAATACAGCCTAGAATACCCTGCTAACAAAGGTTTTCAATTCGAGCTCCAAGTACGTCACTAGGTACGTCACAATGTACGTCATCATGTACGTCACTAGGTACGTCACAATGTACGTCACCATGTACGTCACTAGGTACGTGACCAAGCAAGTCACCAGGTACGTCATCAGTTACGTCATTAGTGACGTCACCAGGTACGTCACAGAATGACGAGCAAACAAGGGAGTGAACTCATTTGTGACCAGTCATAAGTGGATTAAATTTTGCGCATGCATGTAGCGGGCTCTTTTTGTGGTTTTATGCGTACGCCTTATTATTGATGGTTTTCAACCATTCCCAAGAGAATTAAATAACAAAAGACACGTCGGCCATGTTGGAGGATATAACAAAAGAGTTCACTGACAATTCTTTTGTTAAGTTCCTCCAACATGGCCGCCGTGAAAACCATCAATTCAAGTTTCAGATCACAAAGTGCAGTGAGAGGCAAGTGCACCACTGGTATGCCACCTTGATTCCCCAACACTCACCTTCAATGCTCTTTTCATCTCTCTCAGCTTCAAGACTTCCTCATTTTGTTTACTGACATGAGTCATGGCCCGCGCTCTTTCTTCATTGCCTGGTAAAGGGGTACCAATTATAGATAGTCTAGCATCCTTGATCGTGCGTACAAGTGATAACAACTCATCAGCTTCACGTTTTGAGTCCTTAGCTTTTAATTCGTCGACATCATTCCAGTCACCGTTATCAGCATCTAAGACATAGTACCATGTGGTATTAGATGATTCAGTTGGTTTGGAGGGTTTTGGAGGTTGTTGGGAGGGCGTGGCAACACATGTGTCTTTTTGTTCTTCCGATGACTCTTTGATTTCTGATTGGCCGACATTAGGCGTTGCCATTGTTTTTGTTTCTTTAGTTTCTGATTGGCTGACATTAGCCGTTACCATTGTTTTCGTTTCTTTAGTTTCTGATTGGCTGACATTAGCCGTTACCATTGTTTTGGTTTCCTTGATTTCTGATTGGCTAGTTTCGGGCGTTGCCATGGTTTTCTCAAGAGGTTTAATTTCAGGCGAATATTCTTCCTTTGGTGTTTCACTCGAAGATATTTTCACTTCTGCCTCCAAGTTTAATGGTTTTTGTTCTTGATTTTCGACTGCCGAGGCAACAATAGGCGAAACTTCAGGTGAACAAGACTCTTCCTGTAAGGGGGCAGTTGTAGATGTTTCCAAGGCAATAGGACCATCAACACTATCACCTTCTGCTTTGGGGGTCAATAGTCTTTGAATGTCACTAGGAGTTGCTTTATCAGTAGGAGATTCACTACGATCTTTGTTTTCTACAGGTTTGATATTTTTGGTGGCTTCTTTAGGCGAGGATCCAAAGGACGCTCGTCTTCTTTGGTCGGTCTTTTCCAGTTCGCCATCGTAGCTATAGTAACCACCAATACCTAAAGAAGAACGAGTAAAGAATAGGCGAGAACATTAAGAGAGATTTAAGCGCAAGTAAAATAAAATACTTCTCTATAAAGGATGAGTTGGATGACTGCTAAAGATCTAAGAAGACAAGTCAACCGTTGACCCAGTCAATCAGCGCGAGTTCCATGTTCTTCAAATAAGAGAAGACCCACTTCCGTCACGGTCAGGGTACAAAAGTAATTCATGTACTGAATAATGTCTAATCATAGGGCGCAATCATAACGCCGTCACGGTCACATTAGTGCAGTTTTCGTATGACTGTGAAAAGTTCACGGCACGAACACGGTCGTGACACAGAAAGGGATATGCCAGACAAATCACATTGCACGAGAATTTACTCTCCATCCAATCAAATACCCGGAACACGGCATAAACACGGCGCGGACACGGTCACGCCAAGATCACGACACTTTTAGACCAATCATATTGCGCGTGGAAAAAAAATCAGCCAATTAAAATTCTAGAAAGTATCACGGTCACGGCACGTCACGCTTACGGCACTGAGCTTTTCGCGGTCATACGAAAACTGCACTAAGACACTGTATGACTGTGAAACTGCAAGGCACAAGGTTTCGTCACGGCATGGAATAATAACATTCATTGGACCAATCATAGCCCGTGACTGCAGTATTTGTCCAATCAGAATGCTCAGACACAAACATTCGTCACAGTCACGGTACTTTTACACGATATTTTTTAAGTCATACAAAACCTGTTGTTTCTCACCTAATACTGATCCAGCTCTTTTACCCATTGAGTTTGTTTTCTTTCTCATCGTAGTATCGCCAGATTGCTGGTTTTGTGTCTTACGGACGATAACCTCCCCTCGACTAGAAGCACCCAACACCGATATCCATTTATCCATGTCTTCTTGGCTGTCTGCTGCAAAGTATATCTTAGCAGCTTTAGGATCTTCTGACTCGATCTTGAAACAGCTGGAAGAAAAATAGGTGCGCAACTGGTAAATTTTTATACATGATACAATCAATAGACGTCATTTAAGGTCTCGTGGTAATTTTATTAGCTGAATGGCAAGTTTTCAATAGAAATGTACATGGATGATATCGCACTGGGGGAGGGGAGGGGGTAGGGCAGTGTTTGCCGCTCAGTGAAGGCTGGTATTAGATTTCTGAGCTTCAATAGGCTGATTGATACTAAGAAATTAGCGTGAAGGGGAAAAGGAAAATAGGAAAATAGAAAGGAAGGAAAGTGAGAAGAAAGAAAAGAACGGAGAAAGGGATGGAAGAAAGAATGGATGGATGGATGGATGGAAGGAAGGAAGGAAGGAAGGATGGAAGGAAGGAAGAAAGGAAGGAAGAAAAAAAGAAAAGAAGGCAAGGAAGGGAGGGAGTAAGGGAATCTAATGGAAGAAAGAAAAAAAGGAACTTACAATCTTTTCTTCATTTCAGGAGCAGCTGTTATAGTATGGTCTTTTACACCTATCACACCTCCAGCCTCAGGATCAAACGATGTCTTGTAGTAATACACATGCTGTTCTTTCAATACAACCCATTTTCTCTTCCACGATGCAAATATTGCTCCCCCTCCTAAACAAACAACCAGAGTAAATTCTTTAATATTGCTAGTTTTCAATCATTCCCAAGAGCATGAAATAACAAAAGACACGGCGGCCAAGTTGGATGATACAACAAATGGCTAATGACGAATCGTTTGTTAAATTCATCCAACATGGCGGCTGTGAAACCATCAAACACAGTAATTTTTGATGAAATTGGTAAGAGCGCATTAGCAGTCACAGTCGGAAGCATTCCAGGGCAACCTCGAAAGTGGGGACCTACATTTGAAAATATTGAGGACTAGGATGTGTATAAAATTGGCCGTGATTACCGAAGGTGCCAATGAAGAATGACCCTCCTTTGTAGTGATAACTTTCCCTCCTTCCCATCGCACCTCTTTCTCTGGATGGGGTTAGGTATCATACCTCTCTTAGTCAGCCAGCCTTCATGGTCCACTTCACCAAGTTCACGACATGACAGTCTGTTGTTGTCTTTAGATGTGTTCTTTTTATCCTGCTTGTTTTGGGACGGTGCTTCACGAGTACCTATCACCTCTACTTCCTTAGTACCTGCAATAACAACACGAAAAATACTCTTAGGCCCCGTCCACACTATGCCGGATAAATTTGAATCCGAATTTTTATTTATTCGGTTAGGCCTACCGTCCACACTAGTCCGGGGCGAATCCGGAACAATTCTTCACCGAAAACGATTTTTTTCGAATACGGTCTCCAGAGTGGAACAATTYGAAAACGCCGGCTAACCGTATTAGTGTGGACGGAGAACATTTCGAATCCGAATTTTTTCGAATACGATGACGTCATGATTGTAATGGGAACATAGCGGGAAGGCTAAAAATTCACCGCGGGCTCAATTTAAGCTTCGATGCACATGCTCAGATGTGCAATGAAGCGTTTTTGCCGCCTCTGATCAGACTAGTGTGGACGCAAAACATTTTATCCGTTTTTGTGTGGACGGAAAACTTTTTTTTCGGTTTCGGTGTGAAAGTTGCAGATTCAAATTTAACCGGCATAGAGTGGACGGGGCCTTAGTCTTATCAAAACTGGAACTGGTTCTTAAGGTAAAACAGGCAGGTACATACCCTCGGCATAGCTCATTCTCATCTGCATGTGTTTTGAAGGGCTGTGAGAAGAAGTAGTAGACTCTCGTTTGGCTATGCGCTCTCTTAGTAAAGAGTCTTCATCAAGGGGTGATTCAACATCTAAAACAAAAAGAGGTATAGTGTGTATATCAACAGGGTGTGACCTCGTTTGGATTGCCTCATGTGTATTATCATGAGTGGCTATGCGCTCTCTTAGTAAAGAGTCTTCATCAAGGGGTGATTCAACATCTAAAACAAAAAGAGGTATAGTGTGTATATCAACAGGGTGTGGCCTCGCTTGGATTGCCTCATGGGTATTACCATGAGCAGGATTGATGTGGCAACACCCAAATCAATGTCACTGCTGCTAATGTTAATGGTGATAACAACAATGATAGTAATGATTTCATGATTTGATTTCTGCCAATTACAATGAGGTGCTGAGAAAGAATAAGACAAAATAAAAAAACGTATAAGAAAAAAAAATTGTATATACACTGAATCAAAATATGGCAGCCAATTTAAATATCTATTGTTCTGGACTGACTAGCAACAGACTAGCCTCTCATACATGTGAAAATGCTTTTATGTTTCCCCATGAACATGACATCACATATCAAGGACAATCAATGAACCTCACCATCTTTCCGCTCATCCTGTTCARAAGCCTCATCCACCATCTTGGTTGTTTTCTCATCATCCTCTACAACACCCTCTTCTAGTGGTACTATGGCTCCTTCGGCAATGTCCTTCTCTTCTTCTACTGCTCCAAAAATAAACGACGATTCATAAATAGTACCAAAATAACCTTATAATTACTAATACACTAACTATCACACCATGTAAGGGGTCCTTCCGTGAGCTGGGTCCACACACACTACCCCTACATTCACTATTTACGACATACATGAGGGAGAAAAACTTGAGAACAGACTCAACTCACATTATTACAGTTCATTCAGGAATCGAACCCCCAACCCTAGGCATGAACTACACAGTAGTAAGAGACAGTACTTTAGCAGCAGCAGCAACTGTTAAGTACATCTTACAGTATCATAGACACAAACCACCTTAGAAACACTTACCTTTCTTTCCAGTCTCTTCAGGCCCATTGTCTGGTGATTTCTCAGCTGTTGTTGCCTCACTGAGTCCCCCAGCTGCTTGGGTAACTTCCTCGGCTGTAGTTTCTACTGGTGTACTACTTTCCTCTTTGTCAGAATCATTAGGCTTCGTCTCCTGTGCCCCATCAGTCCCATCATGCACTGGGGTTTCTGTTACAGCCTGTTGAGCCATATCAGGTTTCTTTTTTGTAGACCTTCTTTTACCAAATATTGATCCAAAAGACATTCTTTTGAACACTGAGCCAGTTGACGGCCCCTTTGCAGGTTTTTTGGGGTCACTAGATCTGCAGGCAAAGAAATGAAGTCTGAGATGGGATTCCTGAGATGGGATTCCTAAGATGGGCATTGTAAAACCTTGTGGCAAGAGGTAGAACATGCTAAACAAATGCATGTGGCATCCCCATGAATTGCACCAGCTACTTATTGTGGTGAAAGGCAAATATTCTATCAGACTCTCTTTTTACGGCACTTTTCAATGATGCACACACAAAAACCGTACAATTTTCTATTGCAACAAAATAAAGTTTTGGTGGATGTCAATCAAAGTATTTTCATACATTGTTGAAAAACATGGACCTTTCAAAGGCCCCTTATGGGGATGCCTTGTTTGATGCCCACCAAAACCTACTTTGAAGTGACTGCAAATTGCACATTTTTTTTGCACATGATTGAACAAGAAGCTCTGTAAGTGGGTTGTAATGTAGCACGCAATTTATTTAATAAAATATCCAAGGATTTTGTTATTAAAATTATGTTGATGTCCTTACGTCGATGGTAGAGATTTGCGCATCACTACTCCTCCTACTACTGTGGTAGAGTATCCTTCGGTTGCTTGTTGTTGGTTTTCTTCTTCGTCAGCGTACCATGTAGTGSGAGTTGAAGATACTTCTGTCGTATGAAAATAAAACAGTCGTAATTTTTCTTATGATGCAACAGATTTGGAATCAAGGGTCATGCAGTGGTAGTGCTAATGCACTCTCACCCCTAGGCTTATCTAATGGATTATTTGGGTTCTCTAATTCTTCTAAGTCCTCTTCAAAACCAAACATGCTAAATCCCAATTGATTATGAAGAGTCAGGGAAACTGGAAAATCTGGGGATAAAACCTAAGGTACATAGGAAAGAAGGACTTAAGGTACATAGGAAAGAAGGGCTTAAGGTACATAGGAAAGAAGGACCTAAGGTACATAGGAAAGAAGGACCTAAGGTACA